GGGGTGGGGTGGGGTGGGTGGGGAGAGAGAAAAGCAAAAGCCCCCCTCCTGTGTGCCCATCACAGAGCAATTCTACTGACCTCACACAAAGGGCAGGGAAAACCTGTGCACAGTTTTAAACCATCCCCACCCAAAGGGTTGGGGAGAGAGTTCAGGGCAAGGAGGGAAAAAGAAGGGAGAAGAAAAAGACCGGGAATTTTCCTTCTTCTTTTTTTTTTAAAGGGAATCTTTCCTAAACATTCACTCCCCAGCCCTTCTGCCTCCGGGATGCAAAGTGTTACTCAGCTGCAAGGCCTCTTGCTAATTGTGGGTTTTTATTTTTATTTCCTATTGCCCTCTCGCACGCCTGATGAGATTATTTTACCGGAACTGACACAGCTGGAAGCAGCAGGCATACGTGGAGCCTCTGAGGAGGTGATGCAATTTCATTTTCATTGATCAGAAATCAGCGGGGCAGTAAGTGATGGGAAATTCCATTAGAAGAAAACTTGCAAGCCATGAGCCTCAACTTCCTCGCCACACCCAGGAGCCCCCAGGGGTCTTGCCTTCCTCTGGACGAGGTCTGCACAGAGCAGAGGCTCGGAAGCGCCCTCCTCCACGTGGGAATGAAAGCATCAGGGCCGTGCTACTGGCCCGAGAGGGTGTCTGGCCGGGAGAGGAACGCCGGCAGGGCTCCTTCAACCAACAAGGGCACCGCAGTTCTCTGCGGATGAGAGAGAAGTCATCCAGGGACCCAGAAGAGGAGCCCTCAAAACCACGCCCCACAGCCCCTCAAAACCAATGCTTAACGGCTCCCTTTCCAAGTGTCACAAACAAGGAAAGAGGAGGCCACTAGCAATCGTTGTAAATATGTCTCCCAACCACTCGTAGAGACGCTCCTGAAGGCACTTACCATGTATTTATTGAGCACCTACTGTGTGCCAGGGGCTCAACAAGGACAGACTCAGATCCTCCCCTAATGCTGCTGGAGGAACATCCTTCTCTCTCCTGGACAATCAAGGAAGCAGAGGTCCTGGGAGGTAAGGGAGAGAGCCAGTTGGGACCAACGACTTACTGAGGGTTAGCACAGCCTCCCTGACAGCAAAGGCAGGCTGCGTGAGAGCCAACGAGAGAACTCGCCCACTCACGCGTGAGTCTTAGGATGAAGCACATCTGATTGCCTAGTTTGCTTTTCTCCAGGTAGAGCAGATGACTGATGGATACAGCCACCTCTGTCACCCTACACATCTCAACAACAGCGAGCCTTGCGTCCAAGGCTGGAACCAGAGGTGAACTCTTCAGAATGCGTAGAATGGCTACTGTTTTAGCAGTTAACACCCCCTCCCGCAACTGTTTGCCCAGCAAATATTGCTTCACTCACCAAGGGAAAAAAATAGCAAGGGGCTACTCAAAAAGACAAGTTCTACCAAAAAACAAAAACAAAAACAGAACAATCATCAGCCAGGTGGCTCACCAGACCTCCTCCTTTGGCCATTCTGCCATATAAAATGTGAATCAGAGAAGGACCAGGCCACACTCACAAAATTAATACTGTTCCAAACAACTGTTCACCACTAAAATGGGGAAAAAACTGGAAACGCATAAGTGAGGACAATATGTCAAATCAAAATCTATCAGTAAGTTTTTATTGAGCACCTAAGCTGTGGCTCTACAAAGCAGAGACTACATAAGACAGGGACCCTGGGTGAATGAGGTTGCAGAGAGGTCAGAGTCACGTGAGAATACCCAGCACACATTTATTCACACTGCTTACAAGAATACACAGTACAACATGATAGCATAAATTGAGGTCAGGGCAAGAGAAGAAACAAAAAACAACAGTGGAGGAAACTTTGAGCCAAAAATGAAGCTTAAAATGCGTACAACAATAACCAACACATTGAGCCACAAATGTGGCTCTAAGCTTTCTGAAAGTCCAGAAGGAAAACATAATAGCCTTGTTTAAGGTACACTATTCACAATGTCCAAGAGAAAAAGAACAACAAGCCCATCGCTCAGGATTATTCAGCATCAACAATTTCTCAATTACAAAAATTGGGATAAGGACTAGGTAGCAAGCAGAACCTTCGAGGAGGTCATAATAAGAAGGCTCCAGCTTCAGGTCATTCAGTCTCACTGCCTCTTTTTTTTTTTTCCCCCCGGTACGCAGGCCTCTCACTGCTGTGGCCTCTCCCTCTGCGGAGCACAGGCTCCGGACGCGCAGGCTCAGCGGCCATGGCTCACGGGCCCAGCCTCTCCGCGGCATGTGGGAACGAACCCACGTTCCCTGCATTGGCAGGCAGACTCTTAACCACTGTGCCACCAGGGAAGCCCAGTTGAGTTATTTTTTTAATAGGATGCAAGATCATCAAGTCTTGAGAGTTCTAGTCAAGAACTTAGTTAAGCTAGGACTTAACCATATTGGGCTGTCCTTTCAAATAAGACTATATCTGTGAAGGCTCTCAAGCGTACAGTTTCAACAAAATGGTTGTGGACTCTCAGGTTCTAAGTGTTTACAAAAAAGTCAAGAGGCCCTTAGATGACCTGCCTTTCCAATGACTTTTGTAGAATCACAAAATACCAATTGTCCATGACTTTCACTTAAGAACTGGCTTCTATCCAAGCTCTGTGGGTGTGAGTCAGCCCAAGAGGCAAGGATTTGGTGACTCGAGGGTCCATCTCTTGCCCTCATGACAGTTAAGTTCAGGGGGTGTACTCGGCCATTTATGGCACTTCCCAGTCTGGCCTGACTCACTTCTCAGCCTTCAGTTCCACTGCTATTCATGAGCCTCTGTTTCAACCAGACACAGTTAACTATACCTCCAGCATTTCTACCCTTGCTTTATACAGCTGTCCCTGATTGAGACAACTGCCTGGTTTCTTTTGGCATACTTGAATCACGCTTGCTTTCCTGACTTCCATCCTTCTCAGTACTACAACCCACAACCCACAATTTCATCCTCCTACAGCCATCATGTCAAGATCATTTGCCTATCATTTTTCCATTACTGCTTTCAGTTATCTTTTCAGATGTACTCCTTATCTTGCCAACCAGCATATAGGCTCCTCAGAGACAACAGTGACTGTCTTATTTCTTATGGCATTCATCATGGTGCTTTTGTTCATTCTGAGTGCCCAATAAATAGTTGTTTGTTGAGGAGCAACTACCTATTTATTGTCTTACTCCCAATTCCTATCTGCATTTATTCCTGTGATGGAATCATAGATGTTAATGATGTTTATGAGAAAAGCAAAGTTGCCTGTGTAATTAATGACAAAAAAACCAATCATTTGGAATAGGGAGCAACTCCTCCCTCCGCTCCAGCCCTTGGATGTCCCAGCCAGAGCTACATAGAACATCAGCATATGCAAAGACATGGGTGTGGAAATGAGTATTGAATGGTCTTGTGTTTTTATCTTTTCCCAGATGTGGTTGCTCACCTGTCTACCGCTCCCGTGAAATGGCAGCTCGTGCCTTGGTCCCATTTGTTATGATGGACGAAATCCCTGATACCATCCGAACTCTGTTGGCCAAACTCCCCGACTGCACTGACCAGTGTTTCCGGCAAAATCATATTCATGGGACACTTCTCCAGGTAAGTATAGTCACTCTTTCTGACTTCTGTCAAACACAGACACTGTTAGCAGGTGAAGATTTGTTTTACAAGCTTTTCACTTTATCCGTAGAACTTTTTTCTACTGCTAAAAGAACAAGTATTGCCTAGGTGTGCTTTTTTCATCATAAACATGAATGTGGTGTCACACTGTGATTCAGTCAGGTCATCTTTTGCATTAAAACCTAGGCTTTCTGTAGCATGCTTTTCCATTTAGCCTTCCTCTCTGAACCAGGTGGAGTTGTGTCTTTTCCATCAAGTATGCCTGCAGAACATTCTAGGCCACTCCATGTTCAGGGTGAAGTTGTGAGCATTCCTTGATACACATCAGGGAGCTTAACACCACAGTACATGAAATATCAAACCCTACTTTCCTATTTTCTCTGTGCTATCAATACAAAAGAGACTTTTCTTTTGAATCAATATACAAATTGATTTATTGCTTTTAACTTTTCTTCTAGAAAAGACTCAAGTACAACAAATGATTAAGAAATACACTTCTTATTGAAACTGTCCTTTTTGACCCCAGCTATTAAACTTGGTACTGGTGAGAAGGTCTGCTGTTCATGTGGCTGCTGTAGTCACTCACAGTGGGGCAGGGCTGGGGTGGGATTTAAATATCAGGTCATGTTTCTGATTTATGAGCAGATTAGAGAGATGGCCTTGAGATCCAAATATATGTTCTAAGCTTGAAGTCCACACTGCTGACATCAGAGGCAGTGTGTAGAGTGGTTAAGGCCTGTGATTCTGGATCCAGACTAGTCTAGGTGTCAATTTCAGATTCATCACTCACTACCTGTGCATCTGTGTCTTCATTTTTGAACCAAGGATAATAGTAGTGTATACCTCTTAGGGATTTTGTGAAGACTAAATGAATTAATGCATATAAAGTGCTTAGAATAGTACTTGGTACATAGCAAGATATATAGATAGTTATTGTTATTAGTTTTCATAAGTCTGTGCTATAATGAAAACTGATATTTTTGTAACTAATTCCATCTAGGTGAGAATGTAAGATAGACCTATTTTTTGCCTTCCTTCCTTAGTTGTTTTATATATTTAACAAGTATTTGTTGAATGGTTCCTATATACTACTGTGTCACAATCAAAATAGTGACCAAGTCAGTTCTTGCGCTGAAGGAGTCGAGGACAAAAAAAAAGGCCAGAAAATGGGCAATTACAATGTAGTATGCCAAGTGCTAGGGGAGCATAGCAGGGTCACCTGACTGATCCTGGAGCAGTCAGGGAAAGCTTCCCAGAGAAAGTGACATCTAAGAAGAGAGCAGAAGTTAGCCAAGGGAAGGGAGAGAAAGAGTTCCACCTGCAGAGGGAACAGCATATAGAAAGGCTCAGACTGGGTGAGAGTCAGCCCATCTGGAAACTGCAGGGTTGGGTGGGACTAAAGTTCTAGGGTGGCAGGTCTCAAACTGGTCTCAGGACCTCTTTACCCTCTGAAAGGTTTTTGAGGATCCCAAGTGACTTTTGTCTATCAATATTTAATTAGAAACTAAAACAGAAAATAAAACACAAGAACTCACAAGCACACATTCTGTTAGTCATTAGAGAGGTGACATCATCTCACACCTTGTAGCCTCTGGCAAACTCCACTGTATACTTGTGAGAGACCGAGAATAAAAGAGGAAAGTAATATCTAGTGTCATTTTGAAAATAGGTTAATCTTGCAGATCTCCTGAAAAGATTGTGCAACTCCCAAGGGTCCCAGACCAGATGCTCTGGTCTCCGTTATATGCATTATGGATCATTGGTGGTTTCTTTAATACAAACTCTTAAGCACTCATCTCCCTTGGTTCTCACTATATCCCTGTGATGAAGAGAGGGGCTGGGGTTGTTATCTTAGTTACAAAGATGGGACCCTGAGGCCCATACAATTGTGTCAGACTCCACTGTTTCTTTGAAGGGAAAGGGCCTGCAGTAACAAGTAATGCAGAACAGGCTTTTCAGAGATTCATAGGGGATGCAGCTGAGTTAGAAGGAAGGCTCAGATTGTCGGGCGGCATCAGCCATCAGATTTTCTTTATTGAAGATCCACTCTTGGCCAAACTTAGAAGTAGTGAGGTTGGAATTGTTTCTTTGGCTCTTTCACCAATTGTACAAATGGGCCTCCCAGACTCATTCCCCGTACGCACCACTAAAAGGTCTGGCTTGTGTTTCACCAGCCTGCCCAGCAACAAAACACGGTCTTTTGCTCCCAGGGCTGCCTTTGATATTCTCAAAGTTACTTCTTCTGCTACATAATATGTGAAACACTGTGGGAAGGTAAAAACCCTCTAACACCGGGTGGTTGTGACTGTTCCTCTTGTTCCTGAGTGTTGGGGAGATGAAGGGCTTGTTGGAAAAAACAACAACCATATGGGTGTTGGGTGCTGGGTATTGTGTTTGTGTTTGTCAAACAGATTCCTGTCTTTACCAAGATTGGCTTATACCCTGGTTGAAAAAAGGAAGTCAAAGGCCTGTGGAAATCTTTTTGTCATGTCTATTCGGGTGTCTCATCTGTGTTGTAATAGTTCTGTTTCACCCTGTTGTTCTTTGTGGGGAAAGCATAAGGGGTTAAAACAGGGAGGGCTTTTTTTCTCTTTTCCTGCTGTAGCTTATAGATTCCTTTTCCGCATAAAGCTACCTTTGAAATCAGTAAAAGACCTGCACCTGGAAAAGAGATGTTAGGGGTTGAAAGGAACAGTAATCTCCATGGGACTTTCAGAGCCAGCTAAGTAAATAGAAAGTTGTTATTTTTTTCAGAAGCAGGAAATCATTTTGTAATCAGAAAACAAATTCTTTCACAGAACATTTTCTTGAATTATACATTTTGACTTCTTTGAAAAATGTTTACATAAATATATCAAACCTTGGAGTATTTCTGTAGTACTATACATACTATACCTTGAAAACGAGAAATGTGCTGATCTCTGAATTTTCGGGGACTATGGAAGAAAGACTCAAATTATAGGACATGCAAAAAAGGAAAGAACATGTGGGATTTGTTTCTTAATCATTTTAAAAACCAGAGGCTCATAATTGCCATGTTGAAATGGATGGAAGTAATGCACATCAGAAAAGGTGAGATTATCCTGCAGGTTCACGAGAGCCAGCGGTAAATGACACTAAATCTCAGTAAGGGCTAGATAAGAGACATGGACAGTACCTCATTTGGGAGCAGTACTGGCAGGGCTTCCCTGTCTTTTAAGTAGAATTAAACGTCTGTTTTTGTTGCCAAAATTCTTCATGTTGGGGACTTGATGTTATTACAAGGTTACTTATCACTCCCAAGAAATCGAGTTAGAGTTCAAAAAGTTCTCTTGTATTGAGGAAGAGTTTGGCCAACAATCATGAGGAAAGATTTATTTTGATTCTTGGGTACTTAACTCATCTTTTGGTGTTTCCTAAGGAAATATATACCATTTGAAGTGAAAGTTTGAATTCTGAGTTTTTTCATTTCCTGCCCAATTTGGTTATTTTTCCTGTTGTACAGACATATAAAAGCTGATCCCTGCTCTTTCTTTAATTAAGCTCTTTTATTTGGGTAAGATGAAGTGGGCAGTTGAGGAAAGTTAGCTGCTATTAAAGCAGAAAAAGCACTTTTTCATTTATCTGTACATTATAGACAAAGGTATTCTTTTTTTCTTCAGTTAATCCAAATAATCACCACAGTTCTACACATCCCTTTCCTGGTATTAAATTTTCTCCATTTTTTTTTTTTTTTTTTTTTTTTTTTTTTTTTTTTTTTTTCTTGCGTTATGCGGGCCTCTCACTGTTGTGGCCTCTCCCATTTGCGGAGCACAGGCTCCGGACGCGCAGGCTCAGTGGCCATGGCTCACGGGCCCAGCCGCTCCGCGGCATGTGGGATCTTCCCGAAACGGGGCACGAACCCGCGTCTCCTGCATCGGCAGGCGGACTCTCAAGCACTGCGCCACCAGGGAAGCCCTCTCCATTTTTTACCCACAGAATCTGTCAAACACTTTAATTCTTTTATTCCGGCCCCCCAAATTTGGAGCCTTGATTTCTGCACTTTGAGAATTCTGGGTTAAAAAGATTCCACTTTTCTGGCTGTGGAGTGGAGTAGCATTGCTGCATCCGTCCTTGGGTTGACGTGAAATATTAGCCAGGGATGGGCTTCAGATAGCCTAGGCCCACGCACTTAGAAAGTTTGCCATGAGATAAGTAAAATGAACATTTTGAGCACCTCTTGTATTCCACATGAATTGCACACGCGATTTCATTAATCCTCCCAGCAACCCAGCAAGATAGGTGTTATTCTCTCTCTCTCTCTTTTTCACACACACACACACACACACACACACACACACACCCCACATTCTCTCTGTGTTTCTGATGAGGAAATTGAGGTGAGCCTGGCAGAGTGACTTGAGTAAAGTCACAGAGGTAGATAGTCAGGGGTAGAGAGAAGACATTAAAGCCTGCACTCCTTTTCTCTTTAGAACTTGCTGCCTCCCTAATAGTTTATGTGAATAACGACTTTTTATGCCTAGGGAAACCAAATCAAGAATCCATCTTTGTTTTTATTTTTATTTTTTATTTTTTATTTTTTTTTGCGGTACGCGGGCCTCTCACTGTTGTGGCCTCTCCCGTTGCAGAGCACAGGCTCCGGACGCTCAGGCCCAGCGGCCATGGCTCACAGGCCCAGACGCTCCGCAGCATGTGGGATCTTCCCAGCCCGGAGCACGAACCCGCGTCCCCTGCATCGGCAGGCGGACTCTCAACCACTGCGCCACCAGGGAAGCCCCATCTTTGTTTTTAATCCCTTGTCACTCAGTCTCCTTAAATCTAATTTGATATGATACTACAACATTGGAAACAAAGAAGTTCATCCATATTATAAAGAGGGACAGAGGAAGCTGGTGAAACCCTGCAAAGCTACAACTGGTAAAAGACCTTTGAAAGTACTTATTGTAGGGCTTCCCTGGTGGCGCAGTGGTTGAGTCCACCTGCTGATGCAGGGGACACGG